AGCGTCCATGGAGTTACTTTGCGCCCATTCCTAGCGGTAAGGGCTTAGGTCCAGCGGGCTGACCGTCCCCAGCAGGGGTGCGGGGCCGGGGACGCCGCAGGCCCGGCCGCCTCCCTCGCTGCGACCCCGGATGGATGCGCGCCCCCCGCCCGCCCGCGCCGGCCCCAGGAGCTCCGGGTTTCGGGAGCATCCTTCCCGCGCCGGCCCCCGCCGCGGCGCGTAGTCCAGGGCAGCGCCCCTCGGAAGGGCACCGCGGAGGAAGGTAAGATCCAGACCCCAGCGATGGGCCCTGCGCATCTCCGCGGCGTTATTTTGTGTTTTTGCAACAGATCTGCCAGCGCTCCTCGCTCTCTCGCTCTCTCTCTCTTGCTCGCTCGCTCCCTCTCTCTCCTGCTGGCTGCCTGTTCTAGGAAGCCAGGGCGCGGGGGGGGGGGGATGCACAGCACAGGGGAGAGAGATTGCGCATGTTGGTCAGTCGTGTTTTAAAGAGTACATTGCGGGGAGGCTGAGAGGGGCGCATGCAACAACAACTTTTGGAAGGGTGAGCTTGGCGACCTTCTTTATTAATGACTGCGGCAAAGCGCCCCCGGGCCGGTGAGGGGGCGCGGGCGGGCGGGGGCGCGCCAGGGCTGCAACTTGCCCCGCGGGCTCCGGCCGCGCGGAGGGGCTGCGGCGGGAGACAGCAGTGCTGGGGAGGTCGTTCTGCCGGGGATGGGGGTTCAGAGGACCTGGACCTATCTGCCCTCCTGTCGCCCTGAGTTTCATTTTGTTGATACGCAGCACGTCCGGCCGCCGAACCGGGCTGAGCCGGTGCACATGACTCCGCGCTGGGCTCACGTGCAGCCGGTCCGGTCCCAGACACCTTCCGGGGGCCACCGCCTCCGCCCTGTCGCCCCCTCTCTGGGCTGGGTGCACGCGGGCGCTGCACGCGGGGGCAGCATGCTCAGCTCCCCGGCGCGGAGGCTCTGCACAAATTAAACAGTGTTTTGGAGGGGCGGGGGACACCCTTTCCAGGTGAGTATGCCGGGTGTGCAGCCCCGGCGTACGGGGCGGGGGCTGGGGTTGTGGGTAGCCCTCCTCCGGGGCTGCGCGGGAGTCCGGCGGGGGAGAAGCGCTGGGAGAGTGGAAATGTACCGGCTGCGGCCGGAGCGGCGGGTGCGCGCCCGCGGGGCGACGGCAGGGGGCGTGGCCCTTGTTTACCTTCTCCCAACTCTGCTGGTTCGCGTCCCGCTTCGGGGACGGTACTGCAGTCCCCTGCCCTCCGCTTCCGTCCCTGCGCCCTGGGTGGTACCGGGAAGATGTAGGCAAGTGGCAGTCTCAGCCTGGGACATGCACACCTGACCCTCACATAAGTGACATTGCAGCCCCAGCCCCCACCAAGCACCGCTGCAGTCCCTCTCCCGGATCCCCGGCCGCGCCCCGCCCCCGGCAGTGGCATCTTCCCGGCCTCACCTCCTTCCTCCCTTTCTCCCTCCCTCCTTCCCACCCACTCGCCTGCGCCTGCGGAGCGGCACCCGCCCGCTTCCTCCCCGCCTGGGTGCAGACTTGTGGCTGCCTCCGGTCCCTTCCCGCCTATCCCTGAGCCTGAGCCTGAGCCACTCTATTCTCCAGGCCAAGGGATGAGAAGGGGTCAGCTTGGCGATTCGTAGCTGTTATATCAGAAGACGAGGATGTCTACGAGACAGGCAGGAAGGCTTCGCTGTGGCTTCCAGAGGCCCAGGACATCCCCCACACACCCAGTCCCCCGCCACACGTAGCTGCCCACTTCCCAAGAGGCTCGGCTCCTCTTACCCGCTTCACCTAAAGCCCTCCCCCCCCTAGCGTTAAGTCCACCACCCCCAGCCCGAACCGCCTCTTGCCCTTCCTTCGCCTGGGCCGGAGCCCCCCGCAGCCACCTCCGGCTCCTCCTCCCGGCTCCCGCGGTCGGAATCACGCCGGCGCGCCTCCAGCCTGCGGTCCCGCGGACTGCCTCCAGGGGCGGGCTGGAGGCGCGCGCCACCCCCTCCCAATCCCCTTAGCCTCCGCCGCGGGCCGGGACGCTTTTTTTTTTTTTAACCACCTTGGCTGCAGGTCTAGTGCCCGGGGCTGGTGGGGGCGGGAAGGGACGTGTTTCCCTTTGCCCTGAGCCAAGGGCACGCTGCACCGGGCGACTCTGGTCTCTGCAGATTTCCAGACCTTGCTCCCGCGCTCAGCACCCCTTGCTCATCCACTGCGGGACACAAAGTTTTACCCAGAGGCTGAGTTTGTAGGGGGTCATCGGGAGGCTTCGTGTCTGCACTCAGAGCGGCTCCAAAGAGGATTGGGGAGGGGCTGAGAGGGCGGGACTGGTCTGCCGCCTTGCCTTTGTTGGAAAGGGGAGGAGCCCCGAGCTTTGAGCCTAGACTGGCTGTCCGGACGTCCCCTTAACATTTCTGTTTGCAAACCGAATCGGGCCCAGGTGGTGGTACGGCCGCCTGGCCCCTCTTCCCACAGTGGCATTAACTCCCTCCTTTCACTGGTAAAATTCCCAGTAGGACATTTGGCAAAAGGGCCGTGCAAGGAGCTGCCAACCGGGCCTGGCCCTGTTTCCTGGGTTCCCAGGGTGCTGGCTTCTCCCCTACCCTGACTTCCTCTCTCACCTTAGGGCCCCAAGTGAACGCACTATCCTCCCGTCTCTTCTTCCTCAGGCGGGTTGGGACTTGCAGAGCGATCTAACAAGCAGAGGAGGAAAATAACAACAGAATAACTGTAAGGGGAAGGAATGAGTAATAAAGCCGACCCAGGCAGGGAGGAGGGCTTTCATGTTTAAGAGACGCTATTTGCTTTTTAGGTCACAGGCTGCAAAACAGGCTTTGATCCGAAGTGGGCGAATAATTTATTGAGAAAGTTTGCATGGTAGGGGGAAAAAAGGGATGTTTGTTTGATCTGGAGTCCTCTCAGTTGTCCCAAGTGCTGTTGGGTGTTGTTTGGAGTGGAAAAGCATTTGGTTCTACAGCAAATCCCTCGTAGAGGGAAGTCCTCGCCCCAGGCAGCAGGACTTCGTAGTGAATGTTGGTCTTGAAACTGTTTGGCCAAAGGTCTCCTCAGCACTTTCGGAGATGAAGTGTTTAAGGACAAAGTTGTTTGGACTTGGGATGCAGCAAATGTTTCCAGAACATTTCCCATCCAGCATGCTTTTCCTTTGCCTAAATTGCACGGCTAAATGGCCAGTAACACTAATCCAAGAGAGCTTCCACTTGGCTTTCATTGGGGGGTGAGGTGGGACTGCTGGTCCCAGTCCCCAAGGTGCACCCCAGAGTCTTGAGGGTAGGCCTTCGACACTGACTACTATCACATCCTTGAGGTGGGAGGGAGGGGGTGCAGGGTGTTCTGGTTAACTGGACTTCCAAGTAACGGGGAGGTAGTTTTTCTTATACCCAAGACTGGGTTCAGTGACTTCCGGTCCAAATTCTTCACAACTCATCCAGCAGGCTCTTCACAGACTTCACAGTTAGTTCTGCCTTTAGGTGCTCCAGGGGAAGGCCAGGATTGGCCTGCTTTGTCCTCCATCCACATAGGACTCTGACTGTGTGGCTAGAAGTTTAGGAACCCAGGGAGGTTCTCAGATAACCCATAGGAATCTGGAGTACCTCAGCCACACTCTGGGGTTGTAGGCCTGTGCATGGTAGCCCAGGGTGCGGGGCAGGGTGCATCACCTGGAGTCAGATAGCCTGGGTTTGAATGCTATAGCTATGCAGTTACCAGCTGTGACAGTTGCTTTGTGCCTCACTTTCTTCATCTGCAAGTGGGGTTAATAACAGTCCCTACCCCATGATTGGTGTATGGATTGAGCAGTATATTGCCTAAAGAAGATTAAACCCAAAGCCAGGCATGTGGTAAGCACTTGATTAGTATTGGCCATTTTTACTATTACTAATGATCTACTGAGGGCCCAAATGCAGCTTTGACCTTTGATCTCTCCCCTTTAGGCTAGGCCAGAGAGCCAGCTCCCTTCTCTGAAGAAGGGATCGGAAGAACCCTGCAGTTGCCAATGGGCAGCCATCTGTGGGAGCGAGCGGACTGAGCTTTGCCCTCCCTGAGGTGGAGGGTAGGGTGAGAAGGTGCCGAAGGACAAAGTAGACAAAACCCCTTTCATTCTTCCAGGACCCCCTAGGTATGTCCCCAGAACTGGGTTTGGGGAGGGAGCGGGTGTGGGCAGCATGTTCCAAGGGAGCTGGGTACCCTCTGGGACACTTGGAATTGCAGGTGGGCCATGATGAGTGTCAGAGGAGGGCTCAGGCGCCCCTATGCTCGGAGAGGCAGGTTTGAGGATCCGTGTGTACAAAGTCATTTCTGTAATGGTGATTACTGTCCCCAAGAAGGCGTTAAAGTTAATGAGAGATAGGAAAGACGGGGCTCTGACCCCCGCTTACAGCGGTTTAAGAGCGTGCAGCTCTTGTTTTCTGAACGTCTGGCCTTCCCGACACAAGGAGGCTCTGAGGACAGGTTTTCCAGCCGAAATATCATTAAATTGTATTAGCATCTTATTACACACACGCCTAAGCGGTCTGCCTCAGACAGGGAGAGTTTTTGTTTCTCTTTGAAAGATTGTGTCTGGAATGGTAAATTGCTTGCTTGAAAGCCGCCCCCCCCGCTTTTTTTAAGGAGGAAGACGAAGTCCTGCTGTGTGTGGTGGCGGGCAGGGCAGGCCTGGTGGCCCCCAGAGAGGAGAGGCTGGAGGCCAGGTTGGGGTGTTTTAACTGCCCAGGGAGCGGCTGCACTAGCAGAGCTGAAAGGCCCACTGTTCCCAGGGTCAGCTGGAAGAGCGTTAATGGAGGCCCAGGGTGTTTATTTGAGTTTATTTGTGGAGAGGTCTTTAAAGGGGGCTGGCATTGGGCATTGGTGTTTCAAGTCCAGACCCAAGGCCCCCACTAAGACCAATGGCTAGTGCTGCCAAGAAAACATCTGCCACCAAATTGCTGCCCTATTACTGAGTTGACATTGATCATTAGCCAGGAGCCCTACCAAATAAAGCCTCCTGGAAAATGTGTGAGGTTAAGATGGGGAAGGCAGGCTGTGAAAACAGGGTGAAATCTTGGCCTGGGGTGTTTGTTCCTGCAAGCTGCAGGCTGGCCGGCTAGGCTGTGTGCTCCCCACACTTGTACAGGGAGGGGACAAGAACTTACTCAGCACTCCCTGGGTACCAAGCCCCTATTGTGTGCTGAGGATAACTCAAGGGGCCATGGGGGCTCCCACAGAGATCAGACAGACGTGCTCCTTACTCCCCTCTCCAAGGAGGAAGACATTCAACAAGTAGATCGGCAGACAGTAACTGTGGTGGATGCTCTGCAGATGTTGACTAACGGCACTGTGGGCTCTCTTTAGATAAAGTAACTGGCATAGACCTCCTTGACATTTAAGCTGAAATGTGAAGGATAAAAAGTCAGACATGCATAGACTACATAGAACCTTCCAGGCAGAGAGCACATCCTGTGCACAGGTCCTGAAGCATGGAATATTTGGCTTATTTCAGGAGATGAAAGGAGACCAGTGTAGCCAGAAAGCAGTGAGGAAGGGGATAGTGGTCCCTGTGAACTTACTGAGGTAGGGAGGGGCCGGATCATGTAGGATATTGTGGTCAAGAGCTTGAGTTTTGTCCTTTGATCAGCAGGAAGCCTTTGAAAGATTTTAAAAAGGGGGTATGACATGATCTGATTTATGTTTTTTTAAAGGTCATTCTGGCTGCTGTGTGGATTCTAGATTGGGGAGGAGCAATAGCGGGAGCTGGGAGATGAATGTGAAGTCCAGGCAAGAGATGGGACTGGTTTGGGCCAGGGTGGGACAGGGTGGCAGCAGTAGAGAGGAAGGGTAAGTGGATGCATTCAGTGTATGTGTTCTGAAGGGAGAGCCCACTGGACTTCCCAGGGGTTGGCTGTGGGGCAGAGATTGCACAGAGAGGCTGTGGGCTCTCCACTGAAGGAACAGTAGGACACCCACGCTCCTGAAGGAGAGCTCCTTCTCTCTGTCTCTGTGCTGAGGTGGTGTATGAGGTGCCAAGGGAAGGAAAAGGGGACCCTTTCTTTCCTAGACTCTCCTTTATAGGTAGGGCTTCAGAAACACTTTTATCCCCACAAGTAAGTGCCTTAGGACACTGGGGTGTTCTCCCAGAGCAGACCTTGCTTTGGGAGAGATTGGAGGGGCCAGTGGAGAGAGAAAACCAGAGGCTAAGATCCAAGTGTCAGCACCCACCACCACGACCTAGATTTCAACTTTGGTGAAGGAGTCCTCCCTGTCTCCTAGTTGAGTTGGAAGGGGGGTTCCGGGGACAAAGGGCTGTCCCACAGGAGAGCCCAGGCCTCCTTCAGAGCTTCGTTAGCTACTGACAGTGGAGCCTCACCTGAGGCGGGGAGGCCTTTGGAACAGACTTGGTTCAAAGGAAAGAAGCTTCACTCACAAAACAGAGCTTCCCTCTGAAGCCTAGTTATTATTCCAATTAAGCCACACAAAATCTGCTCCCTTAATAACACCCTACCCAGGAGAACTCTGGAGTGTTTTCACGGAGGGCAGGTTGGACGGGGAGCTGGCTGAGGGTGGGGTGCAGGTCTGCATGCTGGCAGGTCACCTGTGACAGGTTCCTGGGCAGCAGGAAACAGCATTATGAGAAGGACATTGGCAGTCAAGGGTCCTGTTCCGGGCGGGCTGACTTACTGTACAGGAGCCGCTCGGGTGGGCGCAGCGAGGACTCCTCACCTGGCCCCAGATTTTCACAAAACGACTAGCACCTATGTGGAGAGCCAACCACCGTGCTTAGGGCTTGACGCTGCTCTCGTTATTCTCACCAGCCGATTCTGGCCCACAGATGTGTTTGGTTTGGCCCTCTCAAAGTGTTTTTACAATTCTGAAGCAGTTGCCAACATTGGAAGTTGAGGAGACTTAGGTAAAAATCCAGATCGAGTCCTTGTCCTCGGGGAGGTATGTCTTTACCAAGATCCCTGGTCTGTAGAGGGGTAGAGCTAGGATTTGAACTCGACACCCCCTGAATCCCGAGCTCCTGCTTTTCTCCTTTGGGAGACGCAGGCTTGGAAGTGGAGACACAAGAGATCCATGGGCAGGATTGCGTTAATAGCACTTCCCTCCTGCTGCTGCCCCCACCTGTGAGAGCACTGGGCTGGTAAGATGCAGGTTAGGGTCAGGGCCCTGTCAAAGTCCTCTTTGTCACACTCAGACGCTGGAGGACAGCAAGGATGGCACCTGTGGGTGGCAGAGCATTATTGCCCCATTCAGTCCACGACCTGGGCCACGGGGCTACTAGTACTCTGCTGCACAGAGGCAGAGAAGTCTGAAGGTCAAGGGCATGTGCTCCTGGACCAGATAAACTTCTTACAAGCACTGCGATCTTGAGCAAATCATTTAACCTCTGTGCTTCCTTTTCCTCATCTGCAAAAGGGAAGCAGCCATCGTGCCCGCTGGCTTAGAAGGGCTGCTCTGCGAGCTTCATGAGGTCCCTGTGTACCGAGGCATCCTCCTCCTTCTGCCACAATGAGTGTTTAGCAATTTACATCCGGGCACCTGTGCTGCTGGTGTCCTCAGGCTCCCTCCTGCACCTCTGCACCCTCTGGACAGAACTTTGCCTGTCCCTGTGGAGCTGGCAGCGAGCAGCCCCGGTGAATCTTTTCGTCATCGTGTTCCTGCTGTTAGGGGACACTAGAGTGGGGAGAAGGTCCTGGCTGAGGTCAAGTCTGAGGCAGGAGGCTCCTGGTTGGCTCAGAGGTCTGGATGGTCACGCCCCACCTTAGAGAGCTCATGTTCCCTTGTCTCTGCGGGGCCACCGTGAGATAAGGGGAAACCCAGGGCTCGGCTTAAACAGACTTGGAGTGGGTGGCAGTTGCAGGTGGCCCATGGGATCCCAAGCAGAGGTGGGGACCCTGGTTGGCCTGCAGCTGGGCTGGGAAGCGGGACTTCCTCTCGACTGACATTGGCTCCTTGCCCTTCGCCTCGGGCAGTGAGGCAGCCCAGGTTCCAGACTAACAAGGGACATGGTGGAAAACGCTTTGGGTCCCGAATCCCAGATCTGTTCTCACATTAGGACTCGGCCCCTGACTAGCTGTGAGACCCGAGGCAGGTGAACAAGCCCCTTGGGGTCCTCCCCTCCAAGAGGAGACCGGAGCAAGCTCTGCCACCCTGGAGTCTGCAGGGTCCAAGGAAATAGTGGGTGGGAAAGCACTGTCCGCAGGCAAGAGCTCACCCAGACACAAAGGCAGCTCAGTGTGGGCTCAGGGATAAGACCACATGGATTCAAATCCCAGTTCAGTCAGTTATAGCAAGACAAGGCCCTGCGCCTCTGTAGTACGGAAGCCAATAACTCGGAGCTTCCCGGGGTGTTAGGAACGTGAGCAGAGCCAGTGTTGGTAGAGGAAGGAGCTCAGTGTGGGGAGCTGCCCATCTTACCTTGAAGTAAAATACTGTAGTTGAGATAAAGTTGGTTTATGCTCTTATCTGGAGAAGGACATTGCAGGAGGGAGGGCAGCCCAGCCTAGGACCAGTCACCCTGGGCTGGGCGCGTCTCAGGGACCCAGCTCGGAGCCTCCCTGCTCCTACTTCTTTTCCACACTCCTCTGGCCACCACCCTTAGGATGTGTCCTCAGTGCTGTCTGAGCTGGTTTGTTTCTAAACTCAGATGGCATGGTCCCTCTGGAACAGTCAGTCTTGTTTCCCCTTTCTGCTCCTCCTCCAGGGTGGGAGTGGATTCTCTGGAGGACCTGAGTTGCCTTGAGTGGAAGCTAGGGCTGAGCAGGCCCTAATCACTGTTCTGGGGATACTGACCCCCTTGCCCTTCCTCTGTCATCTTTGGCCAGACTCCTGCTCATCTGGAGGCTCTGGGGTCAGGAGGTGGGAGATGCAGCCCCCTGACCCACCCCCAGGGCTCCCGTGGGTGGGTGGGGAGAGAGGGTGAGGCTGGCTGGGGAGAAGGCTAGGGCAGGGCCTTGTTCTCATTATTCCACTGCAGCAGGGTGAGTATGGGGAGGTAGGTTATCGGGCAGTTTTCTAAGAGACTGAGGATTTCCCGAGCCTCCTGTAAGTATAATGGGGCCTGCCTTTTGTTGCAGATGGAAGAGAAGAGGCGAAAATACTCCATCAGCAGCGACAACTCTGACACCACTGACAGTAAGGCCTTCCATTTGGGGCTCCTGCCAGGAAAGCATTTGAATAATTATCAGGCCCACAGGTCCAAATGGGGGGAGGCTGCCCCATGGTCTCAATGTTGATGAAAGCATAAATCAGGCCAGTTCCTTGTACTCCTAAGAAAGTCCCCACACCTCTGTGGCCTTTTGAGCCTTGCTGTCTTCTTCATCCTACTCCCCTTTCCCCCCTAGGTCTCAATCCCACATGTTTCGTTCTGGTTAGAAAAGATCATATCCTCTCTGGGTCTTTGCATTTGCTGCTCCTGTTTGCTAGGAACATATCCATCTCCCTCTGGCCCTTATGTTAAATCAGGGCTGTGTAGAAATTCTCTACACAACAGACAGAAAACCTGTTAAGTTTTATGATAATTACCTGATATAAGTATCATTTCCTAATTAGCGGTAAGCTCCTTGATAAGAGGGGTCATGTCTGGCTGGTTGCTGTATCCCCAGCTAGATCAGGTACATAATAGGTGTTCAGTAAATGTTTGTGAAAGGAATTAACAAGGGATCTTGGCAGGAGAATCCCAGAGGTAGACTTGTGTATGGGCTGGGTGTGGCAGCTAGATGTCTTGGGGGTCACAGGGATTGTCAAGGAGAAAAGGGGGCTTAGGGAACCTCTTCTCAAATGTGGGGGGAGATAAGGGAGGTTTGCAGAAGACAAGAGCTTTTCTCTGGTACCAGAAGTCAGCTTTTCCCAGATGCCATAGGAACCTGGGCCTGTGTGAGCCGGTCCAGTAAGGAATTCCGTTCTGCCCTACATAGGAGAGGTGCGCTGCCAGGAGGATCCCACTTGGCAGTGCACCCTGGGAGGAGCCCACACTGAGGAAGAGGCTGAACTCATTGCCAGGGAGGCTGGGCCTGGAGCCCTGCAGCTCTGCACCTCAGTTTGTTCACGTATGTGGTGAGCAGCTGGGGAGAGCCCCCAAGAGCCTGAGGACAGATGCACCAAAACGGCCAGTCAGTCCCAGCCGCTTCCCTACCTCCAGGTCTCATTCACTGCCCTTTAGGGTCTGTTTGCTCAGCTTGGCTCTGGTGTCTAACCTGGCCAGCCCTTCCTCCCTGTGGCAGGAGATCACAGCGTCCGGCTCTCTATGGCCACAACCACACTGCCTGTGGCTTGTCTCAATAGAGCCAAGAAGAACCGCATCCTCTGCTTCTAACTTCACTCAGGCACAGGAACCCCTGAGGGCCAGGCACCTGCAAGAGCCGGCGTCTGGGCCGCTGCAGCAGAGTTGGGCCGGGCTGTGGCATACTTCCTTCCCACCAGCCCCCACCACAGTACCCACCCGTGGCTACCACTGCTTGGACCCACGGGGTGGAAGCTGCAGTCCTGCAGTCCAGCCAGGGCCTCAGACTCTAGCAGTGATAGCTCATGTTTATGGAGGCCGTGGTCTGGGTCGGGGACTCTGCTAAGCCTTAACAGGCATGGCGTCACTGAATTCTCACAGCTCTTTGCCCCCAGAGAGCTAAAGTCATTTGCCCAGGGTGACAAGCTGGTAAATGGGTTTACTTTAGAGCAGCATTCATCCCACTGCCCTTCCATGCCTCTGCCTATCCACTGGGCATCATCCCAGAGTGTCTCCATCTGGGGCAGGAATGAAGCGTGGCCACAGAAGGCCTCCTTCTCCAAGGAAGAAGCAGAGGACCAAAGAGGATAAGGGACTTGTCACGGGTCACACAGTAAGCCAATTGTGAGTCCAGGTCACTGCCTTTTATTTCCTAAGCCCCTGTGCTTGGTGAACAGGGGAAGCATTCACGTCCCCACTTGTCCCTGGAGAGGTCCAGAGCAGGGACAGGTGCTCACAGAGGTTTCCACCTCCTGAACATTCAAGCCAGAGCCCTTACAGGCTTCCTGTCCTTGGACGGGGATGGGTGGGTGGGTGGTGTCCCTGGCCTTCCAGGGGCCCCTAATGGGCTGTGCTCTCTCTGCAGGTCACGCTACAACTGCGTCACGATGCTCCAAACTGCCCAGCAGCACCAAGTCGGGCTGGCCCCGGCAGAACGAAAAGAAGCCCTCGGAGGTGGGTAGTGCCTAGTGTCCGGACAAAGAGGAAGTGGTGGTGGGGAAGGAAGCGACAGGAGCGGAGAACTGTGGAGAGGAAGGGAGGGGACGCTGCAGGTGCCTGGGGGAGAGCCTTCCCGGCAGAGGGGCCGGGCCCTGCAGAGCCAGGCCAGTGTGGCTAAGTGCAGTGAATGGGAGGAGGGGGTGCGCATGCCAGTGATAACTGTAGGTTGTTGTAAAGACGTTCCAGTTGAGCTGAGCAAGAGGAGAAGCCTTTCAAGGATTGTAAGCAGGGTAATGACAGAGTCTGACGCATTAACAAAAGGCCCCACTGGCTGCTGTGAGGAGAATGAAATACGCGGTCAAGGGCGGGAGCCAGGGGGACTTGTCTGCAGTTGTCCAGGGGAGAAGCCACGGTGGCTGAGAGCCGGGTAGGGGCAGTGGAGGAAGAAGCGGTCGGATTTGGCATGTTCTGGAGGCTAAGCCAAGGGTGCCAGGATGTGCTGATACAGGGGTGAGGGCTACGGTCCTAAGGATCATCCAGTTAAGTCATCTGCTCCTTCTGCCCATGTCCTATGTATCTGCATCCTAAGCTTTCCTTACTTGGACCTGGGATGTTTCTTACAGCACGTAGAGGTAGGTGTTCATGACTTCTCTAGCTGTGGAGAAGAGCGTGGGGGGTGGGTAGTGTTGGACATGAATGGACATCGTGATCCTGCTTCTTGTGGCCCCTGAGAAATCACATCCTAGGGCCACATCACTCTCTCAGGTCCTCAGTGCATTGCACTGGGCACAGAAGAGGCCCTTTGCACAGATGCAACTGCAAGAGCATTGAGCCCCCAAGAAGCAGGGGGTTTGAATCTGGCCTTTGAAGGAGACGTCGTTCAGCCTAGCCAGGAGTTGGGCTGGACACTTCACTTTTTTAGTCCTTCTCAGTCTATCTCTTACAATAAGGAAATTGAGGATCCCAGGGTTATAGAGCCAAGACCTGAAGCTGTTGAGGCCAATATTGCCAAGGGTGGGAGGGCCCAGAGTCTTGGAGCAGAGTCCTTGACACGGAGTGGGGGAGGGTATCTTTGTTCTGAGCCTGGAGCCCTCTGTCCCTGCTAACCACAGTCATGGCTTGGGGGCAATCCTGACCAGCAGTAGTTAGCCAGCCCCTTGGGGGCAGTGGGGGCATCTTCCGCAGAACCTTGCATTTGAGAAAAAACTCCCCACATCCTCCCTTGAGCTGGCCTACCCTAGGACTCTCCTTCTGTGTGTGGGGTGGGGTGGGGTGGTTGAGACCTGATGCCTCCCATCCCCATCCACCAACCTAGTGTCCTCCTTTGGCCCCATGGGGGAGGGATGGAGATGGAAGGAGATACCTCCGGGAATGCAGTAAGGACTGGGACGAAAGCTGGGAATTACGCAGGCATGGGGGTTGCTGTTTTGAGGTTCTAAGCACCCTCTTGGACCAGCCCTGCTCAGTAGGTAGATGGATGTGCTCAAGGGCACTGGGATGCAGGAGGCAGAGTGTGCTATAGGGCTCTGGAGCCTCTGGGACCACCTCTGTGCTCCTCCACCCTCACTCTACCTTGCCTTCCTACCTTCATCTTGAGAGCCACTGAGGCTCCCCAGTTACTATGGTTGCATTAGTAAAACAGTAGCCACTTTTATGTGCCTTCCATGTACCTAGGAGGGAGGAATTCTCTGCCCATTTTGAAGATGAGGAACCTGTCTCAGAATTCAACCTGCCCCTCCTCTCAGTGGCTATTTAGGTTGGAGAAGAGTGGGGAAGTTCTGGGGAACTGCTGGGGCTGGCTGGTTCCCCCCACTCTGCCTGCCCTGCTTTCTCTAAACACCAGGAGGAGGTGGGGCCATTTCTCAAGGCAGAGATCCCAGGGGCAGAGCTGCCATCTGTACCCTGGATAGGCCAGGAGCTGGGAGGAAACAGGTGTAAGTGAAGGCCAAGGGGAAAGAGTGATTTGCATGGGGCTGAAAATTCCCCTATCTCTTGGGTTTTCCAGCACAGAGCATTTGAACCTTTCTCCACCTAAAAATAGACTCACATCATTGTAGGGGTGCCAATGCCCAGCCCTGCTGGGGACTGGTTGTGCGTGGCCCTGGGTTCGAGCCCAGGGGCCTCTGCAGGCAGCTCTGAGGCCTGCCTGAAGATACCCGCCCTCAAGTCCTGGGCTCCAGGAGGGCTGAGGAAGCCCTCCCTGTCTTGAACTGTCGCCAAGGACAAGCTTTTCCTCCCACAGCAGGCTGGAGTGTAGCCTATGAGGTTTCCCTCGTCCCCTAAGTGAGGAGGCTGAGCCATAGCCGGCATAAATTCCAAGCAGTCGTGGGGCCGAGAGGAAACCATCAATGAAAGCTTCCAAATTATTTGGCTCATGAGAAGGCGGAGATGAAAAGCAAGGATTTGGCGGCAGATAATGTTTGCACTAAATCTCCTCGCTGGGCTGTTCCCCTCTCTTTCTGTGAAAGGGTTGGGGAGGAGGGCCTTTATAGTTCGCTGGGCCTGAGGGCAGAAGGCTTTGGTCACTGTGGTGGAAGGGGATCTGTGAGTCCCATCTATCCAGTGTCTGGAGTAAGACCTCTGTGGGGTGGCTGTCAGGCTGGTCACACAGTGTGCTCCTAGTCTGACCCAGGGTCCCAGCCAGGATGCCTGTAAATTGATGAGCATGGTGTAGTCCCCTCCCTGGTGGGGAGCCCATGGTTCCCTTTGTCTCTTCATTTCCCACCGTGGACAGTGATGGCCTGGGGGATTTGATGGCCTGGAGGCCTTAGCATAGCAGCAGCACCAGCATGTAGTGGAGCCAAAAGCCGCAGTAAGGGCTGGGCTTGGGTTTACGCCAGACCGGCAGCCGCCCCTGTGATGACCTGCCAGGGGCCGCCTTTCTGAGTGCACCTGAGGGTATAGATCTAGGGGCTCCCTCTATACCGGGAGTGAGGTGCTATAGGGCAGGAAAAACTGCTCTGACCAGGAGTCAGGACCCTGGACAGGGCCCAGGCCATGAGGCCCAGCTTCCCTTCTGGCCTTTAACCAGTGGGTGGCCTCCCTCAGCCAGTGTGAAAGGGGGTGGGGGAATCCAGGCCTCAGTACTGGAGCTGAAGGGACAGGCCCAGGGATTTCTGGGAGACTGAGTTTTTGGTAGAAGTGCACCAAGTCCAAAGTCAGCCGCAGAATCCCCTTTGGCAGTAGAGGAAAAAGATAGCGTTGACCCCAAGGACATGTGCTACTCCCTTCAAAGCCCTGCTCTGCCTGCCTGCGGGATCCCAACAAAGCTGAGATGTGTCCCTTAGGGCTTGAATCGGCAGGCAGGAAAGGGATTCCCCTGCCCTGGGAAGGTGGTGCTTGTATATAAACCATGCCGAGGCCTTGGGTTTCTGGCCTGGCTTGTCTGACCAGATGGCATAACCATTATTGGTGCTTACCACTTTGTGGGTCCTATCTCTGAGAATCTGATGGAATCACGAAGGTTATTCTTCTAAATACTAATACCAGGCCCCCATCCTACCTCACCCCCAGAAATTCTGACTTAAATGGTCTGGAGTGGGACCCCAGGTATCTATACTTTTTTTAAAGCCCCTTTTTTGGAAGCCAGGTTTAAGAACTGCGGCCACAGAGCTTTCTCCTTGCTTGCTGAGATGGGAGGTCCTGGCTTGATCATCCCTGGAAGGACCCCGAGATTGAAGGACGAAGGGGAGCTTTCCAGCCTGGTGCAGTGATCTGAGCAAAGGCAGGGAGTGTGGGTGAGGGCGGTCCCCCAGCTGTTCCCCCCCTAACCCCCCACTGACCAGTTTCTTCCAAACCATCAGCCTGGCCGGGGTGTGAAGGACAGTTCAGGAGGAGACCTGAGGCCGGCCCCGTGGGTTGGAGGTTGCTGTTTTAGGCCGTGTCTTCCTCAGGCCTGGGGCAGAAGGGCAGGCCAAACGTTGGGGGTTTCCCCTGGGCAGGGTTTTCAGGAAGTCTGAGTCCCCGGAAGTCAGCCAGCGGCAGGGACATGGGTCTTCAGGACCCAAGAGCTGCTGACAGTGATTAAACTCAACAAGCGCTTGAGGGCACCTAACAGGCCCAGCTGGGTGCGGGGGGTTGGGGGGAAGGCACAGAAGATGCAGACCCTGTCCCCAGGGAGCTGGTCCTTGGGTAGCAGGATGCAGGTGCTACACAGGGAACTGTCTGTTATGGGAGGTACGGCTAGCTTTGCCACTGAGGAGCTCTGTGACTGTTCGTCCCTGAGGCTTGTGGAGCCCGAAGGTGGAGGAAGTGAGTGGAGGTGCAAGCTGGTCTCCCTGGGATCGAAGCCTTGATAGTCCCAGAACGGGGTGGGCAGGTGTTGGGATCCAACTGTCCGTTTCCTTTGTAGGCCCTGGTGACAAATTAGTATATCCCTAGATGAGAGAATAGGGCCTCTTTGCAGTTTCCACAGGGGCCCTTCACCATGCTCAGTGTCTTGCCCTTGGGGACAGGGCCTGGGAGAAAAAGGTGATCCTTGTGAATGAGCAGTCTCTGTCACCACTGGGGTGTCCCCCAGACCCAGGGTCCATGAAAGTTCCTATATAAGTTCCCCCCCTAGAAAAGGCAGCAAGTGAAGAGTGAGGATGCAGCTTATTGGCTTGACCTGTTGCTTTTAAAAAAACGGGAGCCTTCTATCCTGGGTGCAGGCATGGGGGGCCAGAATGTGTTGGGGTGCAAAACCACAGGATAAAGAGGATGCCTACCTGGAGGAGCACAGGTGCTATCCAGATGTTTGAAATAACATATTTTATATAAAAGCAGCGATGGCAAATGTTGTGGGAAAAGGCAAAATGCCGACAAGCTTGAGAGATAAAATACGAGAAATCCAGAAAGGTTTTATGCTTGCCCTGTGGTTTCAAGCCATGTTTCTAGCCAACAGTGCCGCTGCTGCCCCGTGGGGTGGGTGGGCGGTGAGGGGGAGCCCTTCCACTGGGCCAAGCGCCTGCTTTCTTAGACTCCCGCTGCCTTCCTTTGGGGTGGGGGGCAGAATCCGCTTCCAGTATAGTTAGAAG